CAAAACATTTCCTAGCACAGTGAATGACTTTATTCTTCTGTCATAATGGACACCATCAGAGCTATTTCCAAGACTGACCAGCTGAATCAGATTTTTCAATATGTAGCTATTAAAAGGGATGAAAGAAATGTGTCTACTGAATTTAAAAAAATGAATGAGCATTTTCTTGGTTTTCAAGAAATTTCTGATCAGTCTGCCAATGTACTTGACGAAACAATTTTCAAATGTATTGAACAAAAGGCTTAGATCTGCCAAAGAGTAGTAGGCAGGGGGTGTGACGGAGCCACTAATATGAGTGTTGTGTACTCTGGTGTGCAAGCAAGAAAATTAAAAAAAAAGAGCCAAATGCTGTATACACTATGCTGCTCACAATTTACATCTTGCATTGAATGATTTGATTAGAAAAATACCAGAAGTGAAGTATTTTTTTGATGTGATGAAAGATTGTACACTTTATTCATTTGTGCTTACTTCAGAAACATCCAGTTCCACAAACACAAACATTACTCTGAAATAACTTTGTCCCACTTGGTGGTCATCACAGTATGAATTGCTCCTTGCTCTGAGATTTTGATATGTAGATATCATGAAGACACTAACAAAAATACTCCTTTTGAGCAAAATTGCAGATGAGTGCAATGAGGGTTCGGCATTATAGAAATCATTGGAGAAATTTAGTTTTGTTTTCTTGTTTCTTTGTTTTCAAATTTGCTAGGCAATGCCACTGGTGATCTCATTACATTCTCAAATAAGTTCCAAGAAGCCAAAATGCATCAATTAAATTTTCAGAAAAATGGGGAGTACAACAAAGTTTGAAGAACTGAGCAGGAGGAAAATAAAAAATCATTTTGAGAAGTTATGTGAAGTTGAACAACTTGCAAACTCAGAAAGTTTTGCAGAGTGAACATATTTTACAGGTTTGTAGATATAACTATACAGCTTTTGAATTGATTTAAAAGCTTACAGTCAGTTGCAGTTAAATTCAGAGTGATCAAGCCAAGTATGCTTGTTTTTGCAAGTGATGATGACATATTTGAAGATGCTAGAAACTTCCCAACCATTTTTAACAAAGACATTTCTCCTGCTTCTCATAACTGTTGCCAAAAATTTGTTAGCATTTAGTTTTCCAGAAGTTTGTACTGTACTTCTCATAATCCCAGGAAGAGGGAAAGTAATGAATGTTCATTTTCAAAACTCAAACAAATAAAGAACTACCTAAAGAGTATTAAGGACCAGGACAGACTTTGTGGATTGGAAATATTATCTATTGAAAATGAAGGAGCCAGTAAACTAAGCCTGCAGCAGATACTTGATGTCTTTGCAGAATGAGAGACATGCAAAATACCAAACAAGTAGAATACCTGAATACTTTTCTCTTGTATATGTTGTTCTACTGTTTCACTTATGTTGGTATTTCAACAGTTAAATGTTATTAAGTTTTAAATTGTTGAAATGGCTTGTTTATAAATGTTATTTGTTCAAATTTAAAAGGGCTATTAGCAAGGAGCCCACAATGAAAACCTGCACTGGGGCCCATGTTTTTCTTCCTACTCCTCTGTGTACAAGCAATAAAAAAAAAGAAGGAAATAACATATTAGATAAATTATATTTAAAGCATCAGATAAAATATTACATTAAAGAAATGAAACAGAATATAAAACTAAAAGTCTTTTTGCATTTAAATATTGGTGGATTAGTCAAAATTAAAAATGATACTGCTCACAATATTTGAATTTTTCACACTATGGAGATCATATAAAAGTAACAATACTTAATCATGATTTTAATGCAATTTTATGTTATGATTGTCAAGATTTTCAGTGTATTTTCAAAATACATTATGATCTACAAATGAAAGAGAATAAATATTGAAACACATTATGTCCATATATATGTTTGTGTGTGTGTATCTTTTATCTATGTAGAAATAGTGACACATACATTTTAACACACTGGTTTTATGAAAATCAATATTGCATTACAGGTATTTTTAATTAAAAGTAAAATTACAAAGGTAGAAACCAGAAAGAATTTAAGTTTTCATACTCTGAGATATACGAATTTAATTTAATGTTCAAAACACTGACCAGTATATTCATGAATGTTATATTTGCTGTTCACAGCATTGACATGTGCAACCTTGAGTTACATGTTTATGGGTGTCACACATGTCATTCGGTTTGTTTCTAGCATTTCTAGGCAGAAGTTATACATACTTTTAAAAGTTGTACACATAAAATTTTGATCCATATATCCATGGATATCATATGTACCATTTAATACTGAATACAAAAAACAGAATACTTTGAATCATGTGTCCAAGATGTCATTGTAGTACAAAGTAGTTACAACCTCGACCCTATATTCATGGACATTTCATGTATAACTAGATAGTAATTACAATTTTGACTCTTACAACTGAAAATGTTTCAGCTGTGACTTAATGTCCTTATATGTCATCCGTGCAGTTATTGTAGTAGGGGTTCCAAACTTGATTTCTGAGGTCCTTGGTACAATAACCCTGACTTTCATAATCATGTGTCCTATTAATAATGTATAATACTCACAGCCTGTAATCTTGTATCCGAGGATGTGCTGTATAAAGTTGAGACACTGATTAAAAGAATATGTCAGTTAATCATGGAGGAGGAGGATACAAAATGATCAGCAGACATGTTCCAATTAATAGGCCCAGTAACAGCCATGAAAGATAAAATTCACAGCAAGGTTTCACTGTTTTAGGTTTATTTGCACACAGTGAAGATAGGATCTGGACAGTATGAGCAACCTTGGTTACTTCCTTTTGCAATACTATCTCCTCCCACTTAAATAGGTCTTTCTGCAATGAGAATAAAAAAAAGACAGTCCCTTTACATTAATAATTTAAGCATAATCCACTCTCTTTTATAATTTAGCTTTAAAGAAACTGAAAACTTTACATTAAATTTCTTCAACAAAGAAACAGTAAAATATCCTTTTAAAGATATTTACCTCAAAATAAGCAAAACAAAGTACCACATAAGGTAAATCATTTCATAATTTATCATTACAGCCAAAAAATAAAAAATATTTTATCACAACAATAGGTCTCTGATAAAGCATGATGTCATCACTTCATAAAAGCAAATATTGCTTTAATTGGTTTGGGTTTTTCCGCAATATGCAAAGTAAAATTTTGTTTTTAATCCTAGAAATATAATTTAGTGGTAATAAAAAAAAGACTTCTCGATTACATGAGGAACGTAAAGCAGAAAGTTGCTATAAATGGAATTCAATCAAACTAAATTAATGTCACAAGTGGTGTACTTTAGGGTTCAGTGTTGGGAACTTTGTTCTTTTTTGATTTATGTCAATGACACATTAAAAAAAAGGTCAATAAAGAGCTTAAATCTGTTAATGATACTAAGGCTTTCAGTTTTACTGGCTGTGAGGAGGATGCTGTTGCTTTGCAAAATAATTTATATCATTTAGTAAGTTGGCTGAATAACCAATAGCTCAACAGGGTTAGGAGAGTCCCAGCAAGTGGTAAATACTTTCACCATAACTCTGGAAAATGAATAGAGCCCAAGTCAGGTTTGGCCGTGAGTAGCTTGCACAATAAGGCTTACTTGTCAGCCCAACCATTTCAGAGCTGGGTGGTGTACAAGAGTGAGAGACAGAGTTTGTTGTTGATACAGGAATGGCTAGAACACTGGTAGATCTGATGATATGTCAAAATAGGGATTTGTAGCTTGAGTAGATAATGTTTGGTTCTATGACATTTTACTGCTGCCACATTTTACTGCTGCAACATTTTACTGCTGCAACATTTTACTGCCATAGTAAATGACTGCCAGTGCATTTTACTACTGGCAAAGGGATGCAGCAATTAATTATTTCATTTTGAGGTTTTCTGCATGTATATCAATTATATTATTGGAATATTATAAAAGCAACCATTATCATACCAAAAAACCCTGAACACAAAAAGTACATCTTAAAATTTGTACCTGTGTAAACATAAGTAATAGTATACGTGATAGCCATTTTTTTCCCAGCAAATTATTCAATTTTATTTTTAATCAAGTTTAGTGCAACAGTTTATTTAGTTGACTGTAATGTTTGAAGAAAGGTGCAGACATAATTTCATCAACAATATCCCTCTCATTACATTTTGGCAAAGCATTAATGAGTTCATTAAATTAGCAACTCGAACAACTGGGCTAAGGAATGAATTGCTTCAACACCGGATCATAGTAAGCTAATAATGCCACTACGTAAAATAAAATTCCCATTATTAGCATGTCTTAAAACCTCTTGGTGCCTCCTGAAAGCTCTACTACACATTAATAATATAAGATGTTCCATTAATGAGATGTTCCAAAACATGTTTACAGAGGTTTATGCTTTCAGTATTTGTGTTTCTAAATCTTCATCAGTTTTCCATGTTATGCACTGCTTGTACACTATGCAAGAAACTAAATGTATTCTTGATGTTTTATGAAATTTAGTTTCATCTATTAGATATTCCAGTCTCTACTTCTTTAAGCCAATCCACATTATATGAAGGTATACTACTATCAGCAAATAACCAGCAGGGTTTGAAATAGGAGTAGTCTAATTTATGCGAGTAACAAAGCCAATTGTGTGGCAGTTTGACTGCTGCCTTTGTTGTAATGTGATAACAATATGGGGAGAAACAATGGCTTTCTTGATATATCATTTTCTTGGTTTCCATAATGCATAAAGGGAAATTACCTTTGCCAGTAGTGTGTTTGTCATCAACTTGAAGAATAGCAGCTTCATCACTTGTTTTGTCACTGTCAAGTTCTTTTTACTCCAATACACCACCTCATTCTTCTTCAGGTGTAGCTAAGTTTGTTTCAGCACTGTCCATCTCTGCCTGAGTAATGCCAATGGTACTAGGCCTATCATCACTATTGTCAGCTGAATTATTGGCATCAGTCACATTTAAACAAAAAACTACTGATTTGAGGAAGTTTTGCTGCAAACAGCAATTTTTCTTCCTGTTTTTGGTTTTGTTCTCCACTTTTGTGCCTTAGAGGCATATTATTATTACATGCTAAAATGTTTTGGCAACTTAAAAATTAAAGTAGATGATACTTTGGTGTGGGCTCATGTGTGGTTGCAGTGGTTATTCATCTACTGTTCTGCAGCATAAGTCATGGTTATAATAGTAAAAGTATATTGGATCAAAAAAGTTTGTTAGATGGCAGTTAAAAAGTGATAAAGCCTTAGGAAATGGATCTGTCTTCTTTGGGGATAAAGGCAGAATGATGAAACATATGTACCCTGGACCCTGTGATGGATAAAGTGATTCTCTTTGGCCAATTGGACTTACTTCCATACTGTGCACGAATAATATTACTGACATGTGAAAAGCATATTATTCTATTATTTTAAACAGATAAAACCTCAGTCCTGTTTTAATGTTGATTTTAAATTATGTAATGAAAAAAATCATGTCATTGAATTACAATTAATCTTTAAAAATACTTTTTAATAGTTTATTGTACTAAACCCATACATTTGGCTTCCTTTGTGAGGTCTCAGATATTAAGGTAAACAGCAATAAGAAGCCAGTGAGTTTTCGCTCAATGATATACACATTAGAGTTTTATGACTAATGATATGTTTTAAGATTTGTGGTTTACGTATTCCCATAATGTGCAGCAGATTTATGTAAGTATAACCATATATACATTTGAGATTTGAGAAAAGATGTAAAATTATTATAAGGTATTAAGTATACAACTGTTTTTAATTTACAGATGTTATGTAGAACCATCAGTTTCTGATTAACTTATTAACTGCCTTTAAAGAGAACTCCAAATGGATCACTTAAAATAAACTGAAAGATTATTGTACCAAAAGTTTATATATATATAGTTAAATATAGATATGTATTTCAGTCTATAAAATTACTCTTTGTTGTTGTTTTTTGTAAATATAGTTGGTGCTTCAATACTGTGAATACATCTTAAAGAATTTGTATACACAATTCAAATTTGATCAGATGACAGACAAGATATACCTGTGTGTGCTAATTGATGGGGTAGTGAGAAAGTTTCCCATAGCAAAAATAAAGGTAGATACTCCATATTATGTAGGAGACCTTGAGGCCATGTGTATTGAGGAACCAATACACAACTTGGTGATAGGAAACAAACCAGGTAGTAGAAAGTTGGAGGAACTAGACAGAAAAAAGATTGATGAAGCATCTACTCTCACTACCAGAGCTCAAGAAAAGAAGAGCAAACAAGACATCAAGTCCCAACATGTG